AACTTTCACTATTTGCAGATGATATGACAGTTTACATAAGTGACCCAAAAAACTCTACCAAGGAATTCCTACAGCTGATAAACACCTTCAGCAAAGTGGCAGGATACAAGATCAACTAAAAACAATCAGTAGCCCTACTATATACAGATGATAAAAGGGTTGAGAAAGAAATCAGAGAAACATCACCCTCTACAATTGCCACAAACAGCATAAAATACCTTTGGGTAATGCTAACCAAACAGGTGAAATACTTGTATCACAAGAACTTTGAGTTTTTAAAGAAAGAAATTCAAAAAGAAGATACCAGAAAATGGAAAGATCTCCCATGCTCTTGGATAGGTAGGAGGATCAATGTAGTAAAAATGGCAATCTTGCCAAAAACAAGCTGCAGATTGAATGCAATCCCCATTAAAATTCCAGCACAATTCTTCACAGACCTTGAAAGAACAATTCTCAACATTATATGGAAAAACAAAAGACCCAGGATAATCAAAACAAGCCTGTACGAAAAGGGAACATCCGGAGGCATCACCATCCCTGACTTCAAGCTCTATTATAGAATTATAGTCCTAAAAACAGCTTGGTATTGGCACAAAAATAGACAGGTAGACCAATGGAATCGAATTGAACACCCTGATATTAACCCACGCACCTATGAAGACATGATTTTTGACAAAGAATCTAAAATTACACAATGGAAAAAAGAAAACATCTTCAACAAATGATGCTGGCATAACTGGATGCTGGCATGTAGAAGACTGTAGATAGATCCATATCTATTGCCATGCACAAAGCTTAAGTCCAAATGGATCAAAGACCTCAACATCAATCCAGCCTCACTGAACCTCTTAGAAGAGAAAGTGGGAGGTACAGGAGACAGCTTCCTGAACATAGCACCAGTAGCACAGACACTGAGATCCACAATTAATAAATGGGACCTCCTGAAACTGAGAAGCTTCTGTAAGAAAAGGACACAGTCAGCAAGACAAAAAGACACCCCACAGACTGGGAAAAGATATTCACTAACCCCACATCTGATAGAGGGCTGATCTCCAAAATTTACAAAGCAAGTCTCCAAAACACCAAAGGATCCAATTAAAAAGTGGGGTACAGAACTAAATAGAGAATTCTCAACAGAGAAATTTAAAATGGCTGAAAGACACATTAGAAAATGCTCAACATCCTTAGCAATCATGGAAATTCAAATCAAAACAACTCTGAGATACCATCTTACTCCTGTCAGAAGGGCTAAAATGCTGCCAGAGTCTGCCTTTACCTATTTAGTAAGTAGTGTCACTGGCTAATCTATCAAACATATGAGAATAATGCCACTTCCCCCATAACCTCTTAAGAAAATTGGAGCCAAAAGAGAATATTTCTTAACTTACCCTATACTTCAAAGGCTGCGGTGGGATTATTTCAGCTAATTTAAGACCAGCCTGAAATAGATAGTTGATTCCAGGCCAGACTGAGATCCTGTCTCATGATGACAAAACTAAGTTATTTTGTGAGGTTAACAATAACTTAATATCAAAATTAAACAAAACAATATGGAAAAAATAAAATTATGAACCAATGTGTCTCTCAATAACGTAATTACCAAAACCCTCAAAAACTACCAATTCAACAATGCATAAAAGTTATACATGACAATCCTAATACTTACAAATTACTGATGGAACATTTCAAAACCAGCTGATATGATCTATTACATAAGCAGGCTGAAAAGAATCATGTAAATATATCAAGTAGAGAAGAAATATTTCACAAAATCTAATAGATTCTTAGTGAAATCTCTTAAAATCTAGAAATAGAGGAAAACATCCTTAACATGAGAAATAGTATCTATAAAATATCCACAGCTCACATCCAACTTAACTGAAAACTACATTATCCCTCGATGACCAAGAGCAAGAGTCCCTGTCATGATTTCCACTCAACATCACATTTAATATCTTGGATCATGAAATAAGAAACGGAAACAAAAACTATAAAAATTGAAATGCAAAATGAAATTGTCTTTGCAGATGATATGACACCCTATGTATGAATAAACTGCAAAGAATAAAAAACTCTCGGAACTAATAATCAATGATACAAGGTTTCAGAATAAAAGGCTAACAATATACAAAAATAAATTACTTTCTTATGTATCAGTGATGAACAATTGGAAGAACCTGAAATTAAAACACACCAATATTTATATTAATACTCTCCAAAATGAATTACTATAGCAAAGCATGTTCCACACCCACATTAGAAAACCACAGACTCACCGAGCGAGTTCCAGGACAGGCTCCAACACAATACAGAGAAACCCTGTCTCGAAAAACCGAAATTAAAAAAAAAGAAAAAGAAAACCACAGACTCTGGTGGGGAAAAAAATCAGATCTCTAAATAAATAGGAAGATGTTCACAGATAAGAAGACTCAAAGTCATTTAAGTCAAAGTCAACATGTAGATTCAGTGTAATCACAAAGTTCCAGATAGTTATTTAATGGATATTGACAAACTTTTCTACATTTTATATCAAAAGGCAAAGGTTACAGAGTTAGTGGCATAGTATAGAAGGAAATGCAGTCCCAGTAGTTGATACTACTAAACTCCAAAGCTTCCTATAGAACTACTGTACCCAAGACTGTATAATGTTGAAGAAAAATGGGCAAATAACAGGTTAGTGGAAGAGAATGGAGAACCGAGTTATATATATATATATATATATGCACAAAAATATCAATAAATCAATAATCTTCGGTGAAGGAACACTCAGTAGAAAAAAACTTATCTCTTCTACAGATTGTATTGGACTTCCACATTCAAGAAAGTGAATGTGGACAATGTGGACAGAACCTTTAGTTCTTTCACAAAGAAGGTCTCACAACACTAACTGCAAAAGCAAAGGGAAACTAAATCCAACTTCTAAACAGCATAAATAGGAGGAAGTCTAAGTGACCTGGAGTTTGACAATGACATTTCAGAAATAACACCAAAAGCATAATGCATGGGAGAGAGGAAATTGATTAGTTGGACTTCACTAAAATTAAAAACTCCGGCCTTGCCAAAGACTTGTTTAAAGAATAAAAAGACAAGGCACAGACTGGGAGAAAATTTTTGCAAAACACATATCTGATAAAGGACTTAGAATCAAAATATCCAAAGAACACTTAAAACTCAACAATAAGCAAACAATCCAATTAAAAAATGGGCAAAGGATCTGAACAGACACCTCATCAAAGATATGCAGATGGTAAATAAGCATATGAAAATATGTTCAACAGTACATATCAGTACAAAACTGCAAATTAAAACAACAATAAGATGCTACGACGTGTATTTTTAAATGTACACGGGCTTGTTTTAATCAGATCTGTTAAGACATGCAGGCATGGAAATGACTACTACGAAAGAAGCTGTTTTATGCTCTCAGATCCTAGAAGCAGAAGGCACATGGCAAGCTATGCCTAGCCGCAAAGGGGATGCCATGTCAGCCAGGAACAGAGGAAACAAGCAATGCATATGCAAAAACCCTGATTGCGACCTCAGCACAAAAAAAAAAAAAAAAAAAAACCAGACACTGCAGGGCAGACAGGTTTAGAACTGACATGTGGATAACAACTATAGTGGACTCTGGGGAGCAGGCACTGTCCTGAGTTAGCTCATACCTGGCCTTGGGTGGCTTGGGGCAAAGGAATATTGACATTCAGTGCAAACATTCTATAAAGAAAATGTTCAAAGCCAGGCGGTGGTGACAATCACCTTTCATACAAGCACTCAGGAGACAGAGGGAGACCATTTTCTGTGAGTTTGAGGCCAGAGTGGTCTACAGAGCAAATTCCAGGACAGCCAGGGCTACATAGAAAAACCCTGTCTCAAAAAAGGGGAGGGAGGGAGAGAGGGAGAGTAGGAGGGAGGGCTTAGAACTTGTTAGTTTGGGACTGGTTGTTGTGCCTATCACAGGCTCACCCTGGAGACAGTTGCTTGTTGTCTTTAGGTTTTAGCCAGTCTTTGAATTAGCACTTTTTCTAATCAGCAAGGAGCTAAATGTCAAAACAGCTGTAAATTACAGAAAAGAAAAAAAGTTGGTATAAACACATGTAAGAATAACCAAAGTAAATGCTGGCAAAAATGTGGTAAAAGATTACTTCATTTGTTGGAGGATCACAAGGTTTGCAGGCACTTTGGAGGAGATTGTGGCAGTTTCGTGAAAAGTTGAACATAAGTTCATCCTATTGACGTTGGACGTTTATGCCCATACAATGTCTTGGACATGAATATCCATGTCAGACAGCAATGTCTGTCAAAAGTTTGAAGCAAACAAGTTGTCTTTCAAAGACTAACTTGATTAAATAAATTGTGGTATATCCATAAAGTGAAATATTATTATTCAATGATAAAAAGATAAGCTGTGGGGCCACAAAGGAAAATATAGAGGGGACCTTTAAATGAATTTTCTAAGTGACAGAAGCTATTCTGGAAAGACCACTTCATATATGATTTCACTACACAACATTCCAAAAAAGGCAAATCTATAGAGACATTAAATAGTCAGAGATTAAAAAGGTAGGACATACAGTATTTCTAATGCAGTGAAATTCTCAACAGCATGATAATTAAACATATTCTTATGCAATTGTCAAAATGAATGGAATTATACAAAGTTAAGGGTAAGTCCTAATGTAAATAATGTTCTTCAGTTAACAATTATAGATCAATTTAGATTCAACAAATGTGACAAATATACATTAATACTAGATATCAATAATAAGGAAATCTATATTGACAGAGATACTGTATATATGTTTACTATCCTTCCCTTTTTCCTTTGTGATTTTTTTTGAGGGGCAGGGGTTCAAGACAGGGCTCCTGTGTAATCCTTTGCTATCCTGGAACTTGCTCTACAGAGAGTGCTGGCCTTATACTCAGAGATCTGCCTGCCTCTGCCTTTGGAATAATGGGACTAAAGGTGTGTGCCACCATGCCCAGCCACTTCTTGCTTTTCATCAGAGAAGAACATGAACTCAACCTCAGTCCACCACAAATTACATAGTCAAGTTTTCCAACTCTGGTGAACCTACTAGAGTCAGCATATCCAAGTGCAATAGGTGAGCCTTGACCTGGGAAAGCCACCTTCTTTATCATAGTTTCTCTGCCACTAGATAAGTATCCCTTCTGACTTGCTGGATTATTTTTGTCTATACTTAGCATTGCTCAGAATTTGGTACAATGCCATGTTCTGGTAGTCTTAGGTATTCAGAAGGCATCCAGGATCTCAAGGCCAGCCTGGACAACATAAAAAGACATCATCAAAAGAAGAGAAAAAGGAGTATCTTTAAAATACCAATAAAAGCATCACATTTCCATTTTACAGAGCTGACAGAAAGCTCATATTCCAAATAGTCAGGAGAAAATATCAAATTAATGAGGATAAAAAATGTAAAAGAGAAAGATAAACAAGAAACACAAAGAATCCCAAAAGGCCAATCTATATTGAGCTCAACTGCAGTACTCAGAACAAAATGAACATTGTTTTCATTGTCCAGACTATACAGGTTAGAAGATTTCAACAGCAGGATATTATGGGACATTAAGTACTTCCATACACTGTATGCATTCATTTGGATTTGAGCATTGTGAGATATAGTTTATTAGAGCTTGTATATATCATTCAGCACACCAACTACATGCCTTGTAGACTTCCAAGGGAAATCCTTGAACAGGTACAAAGTGAGATGCACATGAGAGGATTTGTGACAACAAAGAGTTGGTGCTATTGGAAATAAGGAATTAACTAAGAATACATAATAAAATGTGTGCAGTGGAATGTGACAAAGTATTGTCAATGAGTAAAGAGCTGTATTGTATATAGGAATAAGCCCCCAGAATAACACTGAATGGGGGAAAAAACTATAAATGTATAAAACAGGAAAGTGTTTAAGATACAATTCCCTAATAAACATGGATAGAAATGATAGATAGGTTTGGGTGAAGCAGAATCCTCTAAGATGAAAGAGAAAGGGGGATGGAAAAGATGTCTACAAAGACATATTTACTTGTGAAAATGAAACTAGAGCCCATTGGAAAATGTGAAGCTGACTAGATGAGGACTATTTGTTCCCTTGTTGCATGCTTTTCTGTGCATTTGATGTACTTCACTTTAATTAGTGATCAGATAATAACTCAGCTCCTCATTGTTTATCTTAAAAATGATAAAGAGACAGCCAAGTGAAGGACGGTCGTTGGGACAGGAAGCCCATAATAGTATAATGAGCTCAGTGGGCTCCGCTCAGGAGACAGTGATGAGAGCTCTGCTGTCACAAACACACGGCAGAAGCAATGTTCCCTAAAATTAGCAGCAGTGACAGGGTCAGAAGCCCTTACACCCTAACTGTCCCCAACGAGGAAAGCTGTCCCAAATCACCACTTGTGATGTTCTGATGGGAATGGGGGCCTGCTCCCTATAAGGACTCCCTCTGTTCTCAGAAAACACTGTCAACTGAGCCTTCACCACTAACAAAGCCCAAGAGGAGCCAGAAGGCTTTGTCTTTGCCCACCCTTCCAACACTGATGCCATCTCTCCATTGTTAAATAAGCCCCTGTGCTGCACATCTGCCCTGTGCTGGTAAGGATGTAAGCAGAGGGTGCTGTCAGTAATCATGAAAGGGAGTGAGAACATTGTGGTGGGGAAAGCTTGTGCGAAGACAAATTGATTGAGGAAGCAAACCCAATCGACACAGTTTAGGGTAGAGAGATTAAGATTTACAACGTATTTGGCTTCTCTCCAAAGAAATAACCCATTTATGTCTAAAGGGAAGGGAAGGATGTCTTACTTGGGAGTTGGAGATCAAGTTGAAATAGAAAGTATGGCAAGATCGAGAACTTGCAGAAAAAAAGAAGCTTCAGAATTGGCTCACATGGACACCACAGAATAAAGTTTCTGAAAATGTGAGGGGAAGGGAGGCTGCAACACTGGGCCTGAAATGGAGGCCTGACTTCAGCTACTACATCTGGAAGAGTCAGAACAGATAGCAGCTCCTGGGCCAGACTAGAGTGCACAAGCCAGAGTAAAGAGATGCTTTTTATCATCTCTGTTAACCTGAGTCTGCAGTTTAAGATACTGAGAATATTGAAGCTTTTTCTGTCTTACTTTATTTGTGTGTGTGTGTGTGTGTGTGCAGAAACAGCAGAAACTGGACTTTAGACAGTTATGAGTTGCTGCCATGTAGCTTCTGGAAACCGAACACAGGTCCCATGTGAAAGCAGCAAGCATTGTCTCTGGCCACATGTACAAAATCTTAAAGACCCTGGCTCTGTCAGTCTTTGGAGACTGAACATGATTCCTTATGACAATCACTCTAAAACTGATGGCATTTTCTGAAATGTGAAATGTTTTATGATGCACTTTTTCTAAAGAATGTCATTTATGGTCTCTCCTTGAGTAAAAAGCTGTCTGTTGTTCCTGCTATAGAAAGCATTCACTAAAATATCTACTGATGATGCTGATGAAGACAACGACAAATGAATACTTCTTAACACATGGAAAGAAGACCACGTAGTTCCCTGGAGAGGAACAAGATGGGGATTCTGACAATAGTTCTAGAAAAAGGGAAGATGCGATCATCCCAGGAAACACCCAGCATTAACATCCTCCATTTACTCCCTTCCTTGTCCATCTGCAATATTTCACTGTTGATTCTAGTTCGGTTTCTATAAATTTGCTTTCTACTCCTTTTCTTTCTTCAAATATTTGCTGAATCCTCTAAATGCCGGGACTTTTGCTTCATGCACGGGATGCTAAGATTATAAAACACATGGCTGCTGTCTCCAAGAACTCCCGATGGGGACACATATATACTCTGTGGTAGCACTCCGGGGTTGAACACAGATATGAATAAAGTATCAATTCCGTGGAAAGGGAGCCATAAGTGCTGCAGCAATAAGTGCAGAGAAAAGTTATATATCTACTAAGTCACCAGTTCTTTCTTTTTTCTTTTTTTATTGATTATTTGGGACCTCACACCATGTGCCCTGATCACACTTACTTCCCAGTTTTCCCATGTCCACCCTGTTTCCCTTGTAAACTCCCCCCCCCCGCTCCAAAAAACTAAAACATATTCACTAGGGCGTGGTTAAATACCTAGTGGCCAGACCCACCCCCAAGGGAAGATGAGTCTTTATCTGCCTGCATCCACCCCAGAAGCTATGAGATGAGGAGAGCTGGTGGCCACCCACATCACCAGTCCTTAAAGATAGCAATTGATGGTAACATTTCTTTCTTCAAAATGGGCCACACCAGATGCATAATATGCTGGCAAGATACATGTTATCCAAGTGTGTAATGCCCATCTAATAAATGGTATTGACACTATTCAATTCACAGTAAAAGAAAGAGAAATGGGTGACATTCTGGTTAATGTAAAAAACATTTTAGAACTCAATTAAATCTTATGGAAGTTTTTCACAATTTGAAGTTATGGAATATTCATTAAAAATGAAAGGAAGCATCATATAAAGAGGAAAATAGCCAGAAATAAAAGCAAGTCATACCTTACTATTCTTTCAGAATCTTTATTTTACAGCTAAAATTGATAAGAGTGGGGAGGAGGTTAGATTGAAGATAGTAGAGAATGAATTCATTCACTCATAACAATGTACAGTTTCTCACTAGAGAGAGAATTAGCTTAGTAACTCAGAAAATAAAAACCTAGGCTCATTATTTTAATTCATTCAGCATTCTTTAATGTATTTTTCCTGAGGGCTTACCATATTCCAGACATTGTTCAAGGGGCTAGGACACAGATACACCAGTGAACAAGACAGTCCTGCTTTCGTCAACCTTACTGAATATGTACACAAAGTAATCAATTCATAGCTGGCCACTGAAGAGTGGAGTAGGGTGTCAAAATGGGGCAGGAACAAGTGTAGAACGTGGGCGAAGTGAGCAGTGGTTGTAAAACTTAAGGTCGGTAAAGTTTTCACAGAAAAAGGAGCATTTAAGTTGTGGTGAATTTTTGACAGATCCATCCAGACACTGAAGGGAGGGGTGGTTTCCAGGTGGCAGTTTTAGTTAAGTCAAATCCAAGATGTGGAGAGTGCTTCTGTTCTGGGAGGAGTCCTGAAGGTATCTCGACTGGAGTAGAGTATGAAGGTGAAAAGAGTCCAGGCCCCAGGAAAGGCTGAACTGGACCAGGTTGTGAGATCCCTGGAGACAGTGTGAGGACTCAACTTCTTCCTTGAGATGAGGTACTGAGGAGGATTCTAAGCAAAGCTGGAAGGATTCTGCAGTCTTATGTCACAATAGGATAAGCAACTAGCATAGGTTCAGGGAAAACCTTCATATGGGAAACAGCTTCCTTACTTTGGTGCATACATAATTGTTAGGCGAAATTCTAAGTATGTTTCCCAGGACTCAGATTTTCTGATTATTACTAAATGATCTATATTCTACTATGCAGACAAAAATTTAGGTTACTAATCAGTTGATTTTTCAGAGATTATGCAGAATTATTGCGTATGAACAAGATAATCATATGAGCCCTTTACAAAGAGAACAAGGTCGATAGTGGTGACATATGCCAGTAATCCCAGCACCTGGGATCCTGAGCCAGGAGAAAGACAAGCTTGAAGCTAGCCTGGGCTATATCCACAGATACCTTATTTTGAAAGTTCTAAACAAAAACATAGTGAGAACCAGAAAAGAATATGGAAGACTTGAAACCAAAGGAAAACTTGAGCTGCCATTGTTAACTATGAAAACGGTGGGAACTACAAGACAAGGAAGGGAAACAACCCCCAAGACGAGAACAGTCCAGTCCTGCCATAGTGAGGAAACAGGACCCTTATGCCAACTCTACACCACATGGTACTGTATTTTGCCAACCACTAGAATCAGTCAGGCAGAGGCTTCAGCAAAGAAATGGCCCTCTCACCATCTTGATTTTGTCATATCAATTGGAGAATAGAGGTTCAACTGAACCATACTTTGTCTAGATTTCTTATCTATAACACTAGGAAGTAACAAATATGATTTATGTTATGCCACTAACTTGTGTATTTTGCTGCGGTAGCAATGGAAAACTATGAGCAATATGAAAGAAATTTGCTTACCATCTCATTAGGAGCAAAACTGGCACCTTATTCTCCCAGAAAATATTTCTTATTCTCCTT